TGCCTATGGAATTGTTGATCACTTCCTGTGGCATCTCATCAGGAGGTAAAAAGACAAATTGCCATCATGCTGTCAGGGGCGTAAGGTCTGGAGGCAGTCAGGACGTCAGAGGCCACATCATTCCATCTCAAATGCTCGCCCTCTATGAAGCAAACAAATAACCCATGGGGTGTTCCTGATCACACTGCCCCTTATGGACCAGAAACTTTACTGTTACTGCCAAGCAGTGAATTTGTAGCTCTCATTCTTTATACACTGATCAGCTTCCATACTCTCATAGCATCTATGGGAATATATCATCTACATCATATATTGTTGTCTTTGTTTTATTTGAAGAAAAAAAAAGAAAGAAAGAATCCATAGCATACATGTGCCTGGGGTGAAGACCATGTCAAGGCCAAGGTGATGGACAAAGAGATTTGATTTCTTCTTGGAGTTGCTGTTTTCTCTTTTAGCAACTACCTTTCAGTTAGTGTAGATTGTAAATTAAATACTCTTAAAAGTATTAAAAGAAGCTGTCTAAAATTCCCTAGATCACTTTCTCTGGAAAAGTTATATTTATTATTTTTTACTTTTTGAAGAAAGAGCTAAACTCCTTAAACTACTTAAGTCCCCCATTTCAGAGAGTACACTGTCCTTACTCCATGGCATACTCTGGGAAATTTAAGCTTTGACATCAGTCCTTGGGGACTTGCTGAATATATTCTTCAGTCTTTCCTTTCTTCATTTTTTTCTTTCCTCTTAAACTTTTTTTTCCCAGAGATGTGTTTTTGGGATGTGTTTAAGCTAAGAAGGAAATGTCTTTTGTCATTTTAATGGAATACTTCAGTTATTGCCAGCAGCAAGTTCCATAGACATGCAGGGCAGTGGTCAATTTATCATAGTTTTCTACAGTTCCCTTGGATGCCCAGATTTGAACTTCAAGCCTATTTGAAAACATCAATGGGGTGACTTGAAATAAAGCAGCAATGAGTCAAGAGGAGGGGAAAAGAGAAGGATGTGGAATTTGTACTTAAAACTAGGCTGAGTTGACGAGCACTTATTGGATCTCAAAGATTGATCAGCTTCCTTCTTCCATGTCAGAAAAAATCTTTAGAATTGGGCTATAAGAGTCAAACTACGAATGTGCGGCTGTAACCATCCGTGATCATTATCTAACTTGAAACAACCCAGTGTGCGCTGTCAGCATGTCATCCAACGCATAGTTGAGTACCCCAGTATCCTTGACTTTATTCGGGAGGGCTTCGGACACAGACAACAATGTTGTCCCTGTGTAACTGACATAATGGTGTGACAGAAAATCATCCCTCGAGAGAAGAGACAGGATTATCATCAACAGTGGCAATTCCAGAAGGAATGTAAGATGGAGTGAACTGATGGGGGTTATGGGGGTATTGGGTGTAAATATTTTCCTAGTAGTAGCCAGAACAGACCCTGAAGCTAGCTCTGCATCTGGGAGGGAATGGGAATTACAGCCAGCCAGAAGTGCAGGTACAGATGCCCTGGGGTGAAAGGGAATTTGGCAAATTGAGCAGAAAGAAGACTTGTGGAATTCGATCATAATGAGCCAGGTGGGTGGCAAGGGTGAGATGGGGCTTTTCTGATCTCACACAGTCTCATGGACCACCCTAAGTTCTTTGAAATGCAAAGGACCTGCTGAGAGGTCCATTAGCATATCCGACTTGGAAAGTGCCACAACCTGACTTGTTTTGTTCAAAAACAAAAACAAAAAACTCATTGCTCTTTGATAGCACAGACTAGAGGCAAAGGACAATCAGAGGATGGAAAATCATGACAGTAATTGTAAGAGTTAGATATAGGCAACCTCATGATCAATTCCAGAAGATGACTCCATTCTGTTTCCAGGGAACATAGAGAATAATGCATCTTATTGGCCTTGAGGAAGTGTGTCTTAGTTAGGGCTTCTAATGCTGTGGTAAGACACCATAATAAAAGGTAACCTGGGGGAGAGATGATTTCATCCTACAAACTCTAAGGTCACAGTTCATCATGGAGGGATGTCAGAGAAGGAACTCTTGCAGGAATCCTGAGGCAGGAACTGAAGCAGAGGCCATGGAGGAGTGCTGCTTACTGGCTTGCTCTACAGGTTGCTCAACCTGCTTTCTTATACCATCTGAGACCACCTGCTGAGGAGTGATACTGTATTCACCAAGGCACTAACTACTTCACTGACTTCGCTCTAGGTCAGTCTTAAGAAGGCATTTTCTTGATTAAGAGTCACTTCCCAAATATGTCTAGGTTTGTGGCAAGTTAACAAAAAGTCAATCAGCCCGTTTGCTCTTAGAGAGTCAGGCCAATGAGAACAAATGAAGGTTTGAGATATCTGTGAACAACTGACTTCATTCCATTAGATGGCATGCCTGCTTTTTATTTATAAATGTTCAGTGTCTTCTCTATGCTAGGTACTGTTCAATCACACACACACACACACAAACAATTAATAAAATAGTAAAATCCCAAATGTTTCACTACTCATCCAGTAAACAATAAAAAACTGACTTGGTTAAAAAAAATTAAAAAAAAAATGGTCTTGACATTCTCTACCACTTGCTATTGAAGTTCTGTTTTTCCTTAAATAAAATGATAAGGGATAGATCTTTAAAATAATATTTGTATTAGTGCTCTGAGAATGTATGGAGCCTATTTGGATCATATTCATCCCCCCCCCAACTATTCCCTTTTCAAGCTCCCCCACTAGTCTACAGCTTTCAGTTTTATTTCATTTTCCCCCATTGAGACCACCTTGTGTTGCGTAACTACTCTTGGGAGTAGGGTCTGCCCTTGAGTGTGTGCAACCTACCAGGCTCAAGTCATCAAAAAACAAAACTTACTCC